CTTGCGTGTACCTTGCATCGATTCCTGGGATCATCGCCTCCCGCGGCTGGGTCCCAGACCAGGCCTCCCGGTTGCTAGCCTGATCAACCAGGCTGTTAGTGCTAGCCCCACGCAGTCCAACCTATATACCACAACCCGACTGATCAGGTTGCTTTAGGAACTTATCAAATTCCCTCTTGGATTCAGCCAGCGGATTGTTGGTAATTTCCCTTATGCATGAAAAGAGGGCGTTGAAAAATCGAGGTGCCTGTGCACATAATCTACGACACGGTACAGTTCGTACTGTATTTTGTCGTAACCCTATTACACCACAAGAGAAAGTTCGTACTATGATCTGTCGTAACCCCACAGCACAAAGCCAGTCACAATAATTTGAAGAAAGTGTCCTTCACGAGTGGACTGAGGCCGGAAAAATACTTCACTGGACACCACAAACACATAGTATTGTAATTTTGCATTAGTGTCATGAATGACCCAAGCTATTTCAAATATTTATCTCTAAAGCGCGAAATATAATGCAATAAATGAAGCCAAAACAAAAATAATTTTTTTATCATATGTGCCTAGACTTATCCTAGTGAATGTGTAGTATAGTTTCTCTGTACGTCTTGTTTCATTATAAATTTCTGGCCTGTGATTTTATTTCATCCAGTGAGGCAGGGTGTAAGAGCAAATGTTTTTATGATTCCTGTACCGGTGTGAGACAGGCGATTCCACTTTGTTTTAGATGTGAGACAAATATTGCATTGGTAATTGTGTTATTGCATTGTTAATTGTGTACAGCTGTGATCTGAGTGTTACCAAATTGTTAATTTTCTACGAGGTGTGAGATATTATTAATGACGTACAGGTATGAGAAAGACGGGTATTACCACCTGACTCACAATACTCAGATTCAGAATTTAAACCCCTTGGTCACCACAGTCAATGAAACACTCACAAGTGGGTTGCTGTGTCTGTATAGCCAATCCTTGTTTTGTTTGTTGTGTGTGGAACAAGTACTTATATGTGGTATGAGAAGATCTGATCCTGCTAAGCTAGTGAGGACTAAGAGTGAGGTTTAAGAGATTGGCTATTGGTGTCCTGACGAACACTGATGATTACAACTAGGTAGCAGATGAAGGTTCACTACCACCTTCCAGTAATAATAATAATAGTGGGGTCAAATATTAGAATTATTAACAGCAGATGCAACTGGAGCTGGTGGTATTTTCTTTGTTGGGAAAAAATGTCTCTTGCCATGAATCTTACGATGACTTTCTCGGTGTATAAGGCACTGGATTACCTGGAGAGAGTTCCGGGGGTCAACGCCCCCGCGGCCCGGTCTGTGACCAGGCCTCCTGGTGGATCAGAGCCTGATCAATCAGGCTGCTGGCTTTCCATACCATTTAAACAAAGCAGGGTATGTATAGAGGTGTAATGTTCTCATTATATAAACACTGAGAGTTTAATCCCCTTAATGACATTTATATCACAGTTGCTATAACTGCAACTGTGCAACCAATCGCTAGAACTTGTCATCTTTCATATTAAAATATTGAATGAGCAGCTCCAAATACATTTTTCACGAAGGCATTTTAAGCTGTTGACAACGATGAATAGTACAAGGTCGTTTATTTGTATTTTTAATTTCTTTGACACTGGTCAAGGGAAGGTACCATTGATACCGGCGAGGGGCTCTTGATATAAGGAATCTGACCTGTCCTCCCCTTCCTTGGATTGAACCTGATTGTCTCCCATACCCCCAGGCGCTGTGTGACCACTATAGGTTCCCCCTCAACATAATATTTCTAATAATTTCTTTGATAAGGTCCAGCACATATATATAGTTCTTCTGTTTTCTAATTATGTCCAAGAATCTGTATTGATAAAGCCGCTGGATGGCGAAACGTCTACAATAAAGATAACCCGAAGCCACTTGTAGCCAAACATTTCCTTTATAAACAATGTCATAACTGTATACATATATCTTCGTCCACACAATTTCTTTGTTAGGCTCAATGACCTTGGATAGGCCTTAAGGCCACACACCACCTCGACACTATAATTAAGGATACCTTAATCCGAAAGATAGCAATTCGAGTAAATTCTCAGAATATAAACATAGTACTACATCTCTCGGTGTATGTACCCTGCTTGAGTGACCATTTTTTTCTTCACGGCAAGAAATGTTGGTTTCACTTCCTATTGAGTATATAGACTACACGGGGGCGAAGACATCAGTTAACGTTTAATGTAAATTGAAGATGCTTTGCTTCCTAATAACGACTAAATTTATTTTTCCGTGTACATACACTAAGAGATACACTTGTCTGTGTCTGCACATAATGAATAAGCTAACAATCGCTGAAACACCTAGCCTATCCCCAGGTGGTTGCCACATCACCAAAGTTTAGAGGAAAGCAGGGTGTGTACTGCTCGCCTCCCTCAGTGTGAGGGTGACAACGGGAATGCGTGTTTAGGATTTTGTGTTGTGGTGCATTAGTTTCAACTTTATTGTACAGGTAAATTTGTGTGTGGTGGTCAAGTTGAATTTATAGAAGCTGAATTTATAGGCCACTGAATTGGTGGACAATTTGTGAGGTAAGTTCTCTTTTGCATAGGCTGTTTCATGAGAAACTGAAGTCTTGACGTGAGTAGTGTAATTTGTGTAATAAGACAGATAATAGTTTTAACGAGAAAGCCTTTATCTCATTTTAGAGGTTCGGCTAAGGGATAAATATGGAGATGGGGTCTTTTTGAAAAATCACTTTATTTCTTAAAACACAAGCATGTTATCTATAAATGGCACAATTTTCTTGTGCAAATTATTTCGGGAGGAATTTAGTAAAAATAATTTATTTGAGGATAAGATAAGATTTCGTTCGGATTTTTAACCCCGGAGGGTTAGCCACCCAGGATAACCCAAGAAAGTCAGTGCGTCATCGAGGACTGTCTAACTTATTTCCATTGGGGTCCTCAATCTTGTCCCCCAGGATGCGACCCACACCAGTCGATTAACACCCAGGTACCTATTTGCTGCTAGGTGAACAGGACAACAGGTGTAAGGAAACGTGTCGAAATGTTTCCACTTGCCGGGAATCGAATCCGGGCCCTCCGTGTGTGAAGCGGGAGCTTTAGCCACCAGGCCACCGGGCCATCATGTCATGCATCATGTCAGGGCTAATCAGTGTTTAGTATTACCGCTCTTGGCCAATCACGGCGAGGAAAAGTGAATGTAAACAAAGGTGCGTCAGGTGATCCTTGTAGCTTTAGCGCTCCTTTTTTCATTATAATACATCTGGCGGAATAAGGTTTAATTAAACCTTACTCCGCCAGATGTAATGTAGGTTATTTTACATTGGGTTAAGTTGGATTTTATGTTAATCATTGATGCTCCGTCTACGGGTGATCTTCCTTCCGTCCTCATGGTGAAGTAAGCTTCGTATAACCTAAATTGCTTTATTACCGAAACTTATTTTTTTTAATTTAATGTGTATCCAAGCAAACGAAGTGTGGCTTATTTTCATTGGGGTCTTTAGATCCTTCTATAGGATGCTACCAGCAACAGTAACCTAAGTTTTTGGTATTTATAAACCATCACTTTTGTGGCTTGTTAGGGATTTGTTACAAGTGCATATTTTAATCGATATTTCACCACCATACCGCCTCCTAAATTTATCAGCGGTAACGAGTAGTAGTATATTGTTTTCCCCGGTGAGGTTCGTGTTGAGGCTGCACCGTTTAGTGACAGATTTAGAAGTCGGTGACATCACGTGATACTCTGTATCAACTCCTCTAAACTCTGTGCCCCACTCTTTTTTTGTATTCGCTAGTAGATAATATAAGCCCTAGGCTTAGTTTCTACTTCAGTAATGATGAATTGTGTGGATGGATAAGTTGTTCGATAGGTATGCCCATATTAAGCTCCTCAAAACAAAAAATGGGATTTTCTTGTGTTGTAGATTGGCAGTTTAAAGTTTACTGAGGGTACTTTCGTAAGCGCGCTGGTCAACGTCAGGAGCAAGGCATTTGGTGTGTGCTTGGTGGAATGGTTCTTTGGCAACCGCTGAAGAATATACATTCTTGCAAGTTAGTGAATGGCAAAGGAGAAGGGATGTCTAAAAGTGCAGAAATGTTGAGTGGATCTAAGAATGACGGTTCTCCTGTCGGGGAAGTCGGGAGAGCTAGGTAAGGTTAGGTCCAGTGATGTCAGGAGCTTGAGCAGGAGTTGCCTGCTTTTGTAGGGTAGAATAAGCTTGCCGGACACTCCAAGGATGATAAAACTACCGGTTTTGGTTTGGTGTCGGAAGCTGTGATAATGGCAGCCTTGTGGCAGCGACATTTCTGCAGATTGTCCTTCATAACCACTTGAACAGCGTTTCTCGAAAATCGAGAGCACAGGAAATCATAACACAAAGTTAGTGGTGAAGGAGGACATTGCAGAAACTTGCATTGATCACTATTCTGATGCCAACAAACTTTTTTTTTTTTTTAATTTCGAGAGTGCGCAAAGACAATTCCTATGCTACCCACTAAAAAAAAATGTTTGAAAGGTAGTGTATAATAGTACACAAGTTTCTGGTTTGTCTTGTTGAAAAACCAGTGGGCGAAATATGGCTTTATGTACTAATTGTTGCATTTGTCTTTATTAGTTTCACTCCTAGGATTGTACCAAAACACTTTAAGGACAGTTTGAAGTTGACTTGCACATACCGAAGTTGTGTTGTACATTCTGGTATTAGTGACAGGAGGAGGATGGGGTATTTTATGTCTGCCGGTGCCAAACTTAATTTTATTTCGAAACGAAGCTTTTTTTTTATTATTTTAACAAAAAGCTGAGGAATGCTTAATCTTTTGAAGAAGGCCCTTTAAGATTTTCTATTTACCCATATTGACTTACCCTCTCATTTCCTTCGTGTTCCTAGTTTAAATTGTGTGAAAAGTTTAAAATAATTTTGAATGCATTTTTCGAAGGGTTTAGTTGAGCTTGATATTTTAATATTTTCTGTAAACTACAGAGGCATCGCAATTGGGCGGAAGAGTCTGGCTATCCACATCATTTATCTTTGGCGAGGCAGTAGAGATGGTGGAGACTAGAGAGGAGGCTGGGATGGCTGCAATCCATCCAACACCTCCAGTTGTACAAGAACAGCTGGCTCAGCAAGCAAAGGAGAAAGAGGTATTGTTACCCTGTTTAGTTTATATTTGTAGCCTCATTTTAATGACTTCCTGACGCCAAATCTGAGGTAATTATATGCTTAATACGTCATGCATTTTATGGAATTAAAATTTGATTTAATTACTAAAGCTGTATAACGCTAGGTATTAGGTTTGTGATAAATGGTTTGGAAAACCGACGAGTTGAAGATTGAGACACTTATGCAACATAGGAATCTTTATTAAGGAAACTTTTCGCCACACAGTGGCTTGTCGGTTTTCAAAACTATTTATCACATGTCAGACACTGCAACATCATGGGATCTTGATACAAAGAATTCTTCAATACTTGCCTATCCTTTAGACGAAGACCTACTTATACTAGTGGATGGTTTCACTGTGATCCGGCCTCCTCCGGCTTCGACTCGCCTGACCAATATATAAGCCACTTCTCCAGCCATGTGCTGTACTTTCTACAAGAGTGATGGACTTAACACCTCTATTCCAGGCTGAGGGACTGATTACCTCAAACTACTACTACTACTTACCCTTTCTGCCATGTATTGGACTGATGAAGCCACTGTGTGGCGAAAAGTTTCCTTAATGACGATTCATATGTTACATAAGTGTCTCAGTCTTCAGTTATAAGGTTTGTCAGGAAACAGGGCAAGTGTTTCCTAACGCAGGTCTTAGTCATATGATGACCCACAGCTGGAGCTTTTTGTCATTTGACGGAGGACTTCCGCTGGCTTACCGGTCCACCTCTTTAAAAATCAAAGTTATAATTATAAGCACTTAGTTGTATAACACTAATAAACATAAGTAGCTTGGTATAAACCATTTTATTAACTAGCACGTGGGGGGAGCCTAATTTTTTTTTTATAACTGGTAATGCCGTTTGTAAACTGTCGTAATTCAGACTGTTTGAGGCTAAAAAGTGATTTACAGTCTTCAGTGCTTGGTGGATATTTTTATTTCCTTTGTTTAATTTATTAGCATTGTGGTATGTTATTGGTTTATTTTCAGTGATGGACAAAGCGAGCATATCAAAACCATACGTAACCTTACTGAACTTGCGTAACGTAAATGGAGATTTTTAGTAAGAAAATGTATACCAAATTGTGACCAATCCACCGAGCCTTTCCGGTCCAGTCTCAGACTGGAAACCAGATTGGTCAATCGGAAATCACTGTTCCCGAGGCTTCCGGATTATATGTGAATATGGGGGGAGACATGTTTGAAGGACAATGCATTATTCGGCTGACGTTGTCTGACAGAAGTTGGTTTCTTCTACTAAGTTACCCAAACCAATATTAAAATGAAACTTGGACATTTTCTACGGCAATTCATAACGAGAATATATAAATAAAGTATTAAGACTAACTTGACAGTGATCTGTGGAAATATTTCCTGCGAAGGTAAGATGGCCTTCACAGAATTGTACAGGAGAATCCTGTTTGTGCTTTTAACTAAGGAAATTAACACGATCGAAGTGGAAAGTTTCAGTTATTTTTTCTAAAATACTTGAAATTCATTATCGTACCCGCTGTAATGTTAGAGGTTTGCAAGTGTTCTTGTAAAAAAAATTGCCAAACCTACATGCTAGTACACAAGTCTACAAACAAAAGGTAACAAGTGAGCCTATAGTGTAAATACAGACTGGCATGCGAGCTTAAAAACTAGTTAGTAATCCTATAAACAAAGGCTCGAGTACAAATACATGGTTACATATGAAGCTATAAATAAGGGGCACTGCTACAACTTGATTCTTTCACATTAGCTATCATTATGCCTGGGAAGAATTCAAAATGATGTTCACTGCCATCCTTGATAATATTGTACCGGTTAAAGAGGTTAGGATAAATCTAAAACATATTACATTAAGGGCGTCACTCCGGACAGTTGCCAACTAATAGGTGTATCTAATGACTGTGCGTAAAGAGCTAAGTAAATTAAACCCAACTAAGAGCACTGATCCCGATAACATCCCGCGTAAGTTCCTAAGAGATGGCGCCTCTGAATTATCAATTCCCATTGCGCACATAATAAATTTGTCCATAGCCATGGATACTGTCCCGGAAGGATTCAAAGAGGCCAGTGTTACTCCTATCTTCAAGAAAAATAGCGTGATGTCCAAAATTCTAGAGAAGGCGGTATATTGTCAAGTAGTTAAGTATCTTAATGACAGAAACATTCTCCATAGTTACCAGTCAGGTTTTGATCTCATTCAACCGACACCTCCCTCACTAATTTGGTGGACTAAATGAGAACGGAAATGTTGCTAGGAAATTTCATAGGTATGGTAAACTTAGACTTGCAAAACGCCTTCGATGCAGTCAACCACAATATATTATGTAGGAAACTACAAGTTATCGGCATGAGTTCTGTAGAATGGTTTTAAGTCCTACCCGAGAAACAAGAGCCTGGTGGCTAAAGCTCCCGCTTCACACACGGAGGGCCCGGGTTCGATTCCCGGCGGGTGGAAACATTCGACACGTTTCCTTACACCTGTTGTCCTGTTCACCTAGCAGCAAATAGGTACCTGGGTGTTAGTCGACTGGTGTGGGTCGCATCCTGGGGGACAAGATTAAGGACCCCAATGGAAATAAGTTAGATAGTCCTCGATGACGCACTGACTTTCTTGGGTTATCCTGGGTGGCTAACCCTCCGGGGTTAAAAATCCGAACGAAATCTTATCTTATCTTAACAACACAGAATTAGAACCCATGCCGATAACGTGTGGGGTTCCTCAAGGTAGTATCCCGGGCCCTTTGCTATTCCTGTGCTATGTGAATGGCATGCCTATTAGTATGCACCATATATTAGAATAGGCCTACACTACTAAAAACTGAACCCATTACACTCGGAGCTGATAAGCGAATCCTCAGATTTGTCCTATTTTGTGCACTCCAAGCCCATTTGCTCGCTCTATCTAGCCTGGAATATTGCTGCACACTAACATCGCCTTTCCAGGCAGGTGAAATTGCTAACCAAGAAAATGTAGAGAGAACCTTCACGGCACACATAAGTACGATAAAACACCTAAATTACTAAAAACGGTTGAAGTTCCTCGACTTGTATTCCCGGGAACGCAGGCGGGAGAGATGCACGATTATATACACTTGGAAATTCCTAGAGGGATTAGTACCAAATTTGCACACGAAAATCACTCCCTATGAAAGCAAAAGATTCTGCAGGCGGTGCAACATCCTCATTGCGTTCACCACCGATGTTCTCCCTCCCCCATTCCTGGGAAGTTCCAGCTATGTTCTCTACTCTTCCCATGCTCAAAGGCTAACATCTATTGTGGTCTCATGCGCACCCTTTTAACCTAAGAGCACATTCACATGCTTTGGCGATATACACTGATGGTTCTTAATTTTCAAATGGCATTGGGTATGTGGCCGTCTTTCCGAATAAAGTAATTATGACTTTTAGAGGACTAGGCCAACAGTTTTACAGCAGATATGTCATTCTCATTGCCATTAATACATATTGCCACTGTTAATCTCATTTCAAATTCTTATTGCTTTGCAGGCAATTTAGAATTATAATTGTGCTATACACAACAGTAGTGTAGAATTTCTAGCAGTACAAAAATATTCTTAAACGCGGTGCCCAGACAGGCGTTCAGAGCAGTGGTGAACATACATTCAGGTGCTCGCTCTGAGATCTGCTAACCCCGTACAGGGAAGTTTTATTCCAGCTCTTCTCTAGTACCGTCCCAGACTCGGGACCTGCTGGTGACAGCGTTGATCTTAGTCTAGGTTGATAACATCAGATCTCATGCTGAGACTGGGGATCGTTCCCGGGCACAGGTGAAACTTTTGGCATGTTTCCTTGCACCTGCTGCCCTTTAGCCTAGTAGTAAGTAGGTACGTGGGTGTTAGCAGACTTCTGGGTGGCATCCTGGGTAGGGGTGGGGCGATTAAACGACCCCGATGAAATTGTCCCGTATGAAGCACGAAATCTGTTGGATTATGGGTTACTAACCCTCCGGGTTAACAGCAAACCATACTTGGGTTCCTAGCCGTTGTCTTTCCATTGCTGTCAGACGTGGGAAGCCGTTCCTTCGTGTTTTGTGGATTGACACATGATTTGCACGTTTATGCACATGGACTTTTCAAGTAATGATAAACCTAGAGAGGGAGGACAAGCATGTGTATAGGGCACGTAAGGAGATGAAAAGTTAGACATGTTGATTGAAAAGGGTTGAATTTTTTCTCCTGCCTAGAATGGTTCAATGGGCTCCTGTTTGTGGCTTGAAAATGCCCATTGTGTAGGCAAAACTTCGCCAATGAAGGGTGATGGAAAAAGGCTTGTAACAGTTAGGTATCATTATTTTTGAAACTCTTCGCCTGGCAATAAGCTACTTCAGTCGAGTACAGAGGCGATTAAATACGGAAACATCAGAAACAGTAGAGAGGTAAAGATATTATTAGTCAACCAACCTTGTAGCCTGAAAATGACATTATATTGACTTGCGTGGATAACCTCTTAATTCCAGAGCTCCGGACTTGATCATATTTTGGACTACGGTATACACCTGACATTGTGGCATGGGGTTCTACTGGCTGGGTGCTTGCAGCCTTCTTTGTCCTTCATGCACTGATAGTCGATATTATGATTTTGGATCAACTCTGTGACTCTAAAATCATAGGAAGAGGGGCTGTGGCTTCCCCAGACCAAGAAGCCAGCCCCCTTTATTGCGTATACCACAGGAATTAATTCTTCAGCTCCTCTTTCCTTCTCATCCCATTAAACTTGCTCCTGGGGATTATAAGCAAGGGGTCTTGTCACTTACTATACTTTTCTTTAATTTCAGTGATGAGATAGTCCGCTTCCCAAATGGGAGTGGACGGTCATCTGAATCTTCTGGTGGCCTGTCTCGTGGGAGAAGTACATTCAGCGATTTATTTTAATCTTTTAGCTAGACATCCCCTATTTTCCTACTCTTCTGTCTCTACAAATTCACATTTATACTCTCTCCATTTCTCTCTCCTGACTGCATAAACTTCTCTGATCAGCGTTGTATGTAGGACATTTACATTTGAGCGGATGTGAGGGATTATTATTTTATTATAATCAAGGGGGAAGCGCTAAACCCGGAGGATTATACAGCGCCTGGGGGGGGATGTGGAAGGCATTCAGGCTTAATTCGGGGAACTGGAGCACAGATCCAATTCCCTAAATCAAGAGCCCCTCACCAACATCAAGGAACCTTCCTTGAGGGGAGGATGTGAGGGAGCACTGATCACCACAACGGACATTGTTATAATTACATAATAGGTAGTTTAGGAAGAGGAACCGTGATGTGAGGTTAGATAAGATTTCCAGATTTTTAACCACAAGGGTTAGCCACCCAGGATAAAACAGTCAGTGCGTCATCATGGACTTGTTTCCATTGGGGTCCTTCAATCTTGTCCCCCAGGATGCGACCCACGCCAGTAAACTAACCTAAGTTCCTACTTACTGCTAGGTGAACAGGGACAGCAGGTGTAAGGAAACGCTCAATATTTCCTACCCGTGTCGGGGATCGAACCACGGACACTGGGGACGATGGTTCCTTTCTGTACAGCTTACTGTGGCAGTCATGTGCCTTGGTAACTTCATGAGCCACAAGCATCCATGTCTTTGGGAAGACATGGATGCTTGTGGTTGCAGATAAGGCAAGCACATCTTGCCCACTCCCTGAATGCATTATGATTAATGTCTGTTATGCACCCCATACCCATGGTTTGGGCGGTAGTCAGAGTAGAGGCACATAATAGATCCAAGGATGGGGCCACAAAGTTTTGATAGCTGAACAAGTTACAAATGTAATGAACTCCAGGTAGATCTGGTCAGTCATGACCAAGTTAATAAGGTAATGAACCATCTACACGTCTTACATGGTTACAATCATTGTAATTTGTTCATTATTGTAACCATGTATAGCCGTGTAAATGGTTCATTACCTTTGTAACTTTATATCTTTATTATGCACCCCTTACCCACGTAAATAGTTCATTACCACAAACTTTTTTTTCTACCATAACTTTTGCGGCCCCCGATATAATAGTGAAGAGTTATGAAGAAATGAGTTAAATCATAAATACAAAAATGTAATCTTTCTGTCTACTGCCCACACCATAGGTATGGTAGGGTGCATAATAAAGATATTAAGCCAGCATCTTGCCTCCATATTTCTCCTTATTGGTCTTGAAATTTATTTGAGACCTGTAAACCTTTGGAAATTGTGTGGATTTTCAATGCTTATTTTAGCCTCTTTATTTTATTATATAATTTTTGTGTTTAATAATGATACCTCGAGTTTACCTGGAGAGGGTTTTGGGGGGTCAACACCCCTGCAGTCTGGTGGATCAGGGTCTGATCAACCAGGCTGTTACTGCTGGCTGCATGTAAACCAATGTATGAACCACAGTCCGGCAGATCAGGCACTGACTTTAGGTGCCTGTCCAGTGTTTTCTTGACAATCAGACGAGTGTATTTGTAATTCCCCTTATGTATGCTGGGAGGCAGTTGAGCAGTCTTGGGACCCTAACATTTACTGTGTTCTCTTAGTGTACTTGTGGTGTCCCCTGCTTCTCATTAGGGGAATGATGCACCTCCTGCCAAGTCTTTTGCTTTGGAAAGGAGTGATTTTCGTGTGAAAGTGTGGTACCAATCCCTCTAGGATTTTTCTGTGTGTATAATATCATGCATCTTTCTCACCTGTGTTCCAGAGAATACAAATAAAGGGACATCAACCATTCCCAGTAATTTAGGTGCTTTATCGTACTTGTGTGCCGTGAAAGTTCTCTGTACACTCTCCAGGTCAGCAATTTCGCCTGCCTTGAAGGGGGCAGTGTTCCAGCCTAGAGAGAAGTGATTTGAAGATAATCATCATTGGCTTGGCATCCCTAGTTTTGAAGGTTCTCATTATCCATCCTATCACTTTTCTAGCAGATGAGGTAGATACATTGTTGTGGTCTTTGAAGGTGAGATCCTCTGATATTATCACTCCCAGGTCCTTTACATTAGTTTTTCGTTCTATTGTGTGGTTAGAATTTGTTTTATACCCTGATGAAATTTTAATTTCCTAAAGTTTTCCCATATCTGAGCAGTTGAAATTTCTCTTCATTGAACTTCATATTGTTTTCTGTGGCCCATTTAAAGATTTGGTTGATGTCCTCTTGGAGTCTTGCAGTGTCTTCAATGGAGGACACTGTCATGGCAATTCGGGTGTCATCCACAAAGGAAGACATGAAGCTATGGCTCCCACCTGTCATACGAGGAACAGGATGGGAGGGAGTACTGTGCCTTATGGAACAGAGCTTTTCTCTGTAGGCACCTCAGACTTTACTCTGTTTACTATTACTTTTTGTGTTCTATTTGTTAGGAAGTTATAGATCTACCAACTTTTCCTGTTATTCCTTTGTCATGCATTTTGTACGCTATTACACCATGGTCACACTTGTCGAAGGCTTTTGCAAAGTCTGTGTATACTACATCTGCACTTTGTTTATTCTCTAAAGCATCCAGGACCTTGTCATAGTGGTCCAGTAGCTGGGACAGACAGGAGCAACCTGCTCTAAACCCGTGTTGCCCTGGGTTATGTAATTGATTGGTATCTAGGTGGTTTGCGATCTTGCTTCTTAGAACCCTTTCAAAGATTTTTATGATATAGGATGTTAGTGCTATCAGTCTGTAGTTCTTTGCAATTGGAGTGGGGCTGTCTGTTGTTTTTAGTGACTGTGGGATGTCTCCTGTGTCCATACTCCCTTGCTATAGAATGCTGAAGGCACGTGACGGGCTTCTTGCCATTCTTGATGAACACCGAGTTCCATGAGTCAGGGCCTGGGGCAGAGTGCATGGGCATGTCATTAATTGCCTTTACAAAGTCTTGTGGTGTTAGGATAATATCAGAGATTTTTGAAGTGACCAAATTTTGAGTCATAAAAAATTTAGATTGTTGACCCTGAGTCTGCTTAGCAGCTCACTGGGACTTTAGTATCTCACTCATTTCTTTGCTGTCATCTGTGTAGGTCCCATCTCGTGAAAGCAGGAGTCCAGTACTGGATGTTTGTTTTTGCCTTAGATTTGGCATAAGAAAAGTATTTTGGGTTTCTTTCAGTTTCATTAATGGCTATAAGTTCTTCCCGAGATTCTAGTCTCCTGTAAGATTCCTTAAGCTTAAGTTTGATATTTGCTATTTCTCTGACCAGTGCCTCCCTTCATAGTAGATAGTTTATTTCTTTCTTTATGCCATACAAATAATGTAGTTTACATGAATTAATGCAATGGTAGGCACAAAAAATGCTAATTATTAATCTGAATTATTTCGTGTATGGAGTACTGACGGTTTGGTCCTAGAAATTGGTAAATTCTACACCTCAATATTTGGTTTATTCTTGGGTGCTTTTTAATGTAAATTTGCCAGTGTAAAGTGGGTTGTGTAATACATCTAGTTATAATTTGGGCAAATAGGGTATTTTGGTAACTTAATTTAATGCATCATAGACCTATTCTTTGTCTAGGTTAGGTTTAGTTCTGTTACTTATAGTTCCTTAATTTTTTTTAACACTTTGGCTGTTTCCCACCAAGGCAGGGTGACCCAAAAAGAAAGAAAAAGAAAAAAACTCATCATTCAACACTCGCTATTACTCGTACATAATCACTGTCATTAAGTATAGCTTTCAAGGCAGGGGAAATTGCTGACCTAGAAAACGTACAGAGAACCTTCATGGCAAGCATAACTGAGACAAAACGCCTCGATTAGTGGGAGCGCTTGAAGTTCCTGAACCTGTACTCCCTGGAATGCAGGCGGAAGAGATGCATGATTATATACACCTGGAAAATCCTGGAGGGGCTAGTACCAAACTTGCACACGAAAATCACTCCCTACGAAAGCAAAAGACTCGGCAGATGATGCAACATCCCCCCAATGAAAAGCAGGGGTGTCACTAGCACGTTAAGAGACAACACAATAAGTGTCAGGGGCCCAAGACTGTTCAACTGCCTCCCAGCATACATAAGGGGGATTACCAATAGACCACTGGCTGTCTTCAAGGTGGCACTGGACAAGCACCTATAGTCGGTACCTGACTAGCTGGGCTGTGGTTCATACGTTGGATTGCGTTCAGCCAGCAGTAACAGCCTGGTTGATCAGGCCCTGATCTACCATGAGGACTAGTCATAGACTGGGCCGCAGGGGCGTTGACCCCCGGAACTCTCTCCAGATATCAAAAAAAATTTTTTACCTGGTTTACCCAGACTTGTGTTAACTTTGAACACCCTACTTAATATGGAGAATTTACTACACTCGGTAAGCTCAAATATTGTGCCTACTTTGCATGAGAAAGAACTTGCACAATAAATAAATTTTCTGTGGTATGGATAGTACAGGTATTGTTTTATATTAAAAAATATTGTCCATGTTTGGGCTCTGGAATTAACCAATTTTACAACCCCTTTCCCTCTAGTGTATCTACATGTATAGTAATGTTGACTGAATAACAGTCCATAATGTGTTTGAAGTTCATAATGTATTAATGTGTTCTGTAAGGGTGAGTCCCTTATCAGTTTATTTGTGTATGTTCTTTAAGGTAAAATAAGGTATAAAAACTTTTATTACAGTGTTCTACAAATGAGGAATTGAAATCAGTCTCTAATAAACCTGAAGTAAGCAAAACAAAAGAATTAGCTAAAGAACTGGAAGCAACACAAGAGACTAGCACAGTGGACGAGTCTAAAATATCTGAAGAGATGGATGTTGCCATTGAGGCAGCATTGAGGATAGACAGAAGGGTTGTGCCTGAGGGTGGAGATGGCACACTCCCACAAGCACTGGCAGCTGAAGCAGAGTGGGATCTTCATGAAAAACCAGAGTGGGTTGACCGTGATGTTCAAGCACTAAGGTGAGTATTAAAACTGAAGGTTTGGCTTTTTTTTACATTTTGTAGACATGTAAAAATGTTTAGTGGGTGCTAGGGATTAAATATACGTACAGTGGACCCCCAATTTTCGTCCTTAATCTGTTCATAGGATGACCCCTACCCCTCTGTCCCTCCACTACAGATTTATACACCCCCCCCCCAAGTCATCTTTGTTTATTCCATCCTCTCTAAATGACTAAAGCACCTCAATAACCCCTCCTCAGTCCTCTGAATAATACTCATAGTAACTCCACACCCACTCCTAATTTCCACACTATGAATTCTCTGCATCATATTTACACCACACGATATCTCCACTGGAGATACAGTGGAACCCCGGTATTCGATAAATCCGGTACTCGATGCATTTTAACGCAAAAATTTTGCCTCGGTATCCGATTGAAAACCCGGTATTCGATGCGATTCGTACGAGACGTGTCCACGTGTGGCCTGAACTGCCCTGTGTGTGCCAGTGTTTACAAGCCAGCCAGTGTGCACGCATCAAAGGATACATTGGGTACATTCCATATTATCACTGTTTTTGGTGCTTGTTTCTGCAAAATAAGTCACTATGGGCCCCAAGAAAGCTTCTAGTGCCAACCCTGTGGTAAAAAGGGTGAGAATTAGTATGGAAATTAAGAAAGATTTTGAAGGGTTTGGGGCTAACCCTGAGAAGCCTGTGCCAGTTGTGGAATCCATTGTGCCTACTTCAAAAATTAAGGAAATGTGTGCACAGTGGATGAAAATCACCCTAACATGGCTATTGCAAGCCGTGCTGGTGACTATTACAATAACCATGTTGTGGCCCATTTTAGACAAATCGTAAAGGAACGGGAGGTACAGAGCTCTATGGACAGATTTGTTGTGCGACAGAGGTCCAGTGACTCGAGCTGGTCCTACTGGCATTAAAAGAAGGGAAGTAACCCCGGAAAAGGACTTGCTACCTCAAGTCCTAATGGAAGGGGATTCCTCTTCTAAACACTAACACCATTCACACTCTCCCCTCCTCCCATCCCATCAATCATCACCAGATCTTCAATAAAGGTAAGTGTCATGTAACTGTGCATGTCTTCTTCAGTTTGTGTGTATTAAAATTAATATTTCATGTGGTAAAAATTTTTTTTTCATACTTTTGGGTGTCTGCACGGATTAATTTGATTTCCATTATTTCTTATGGGGAAAATTGATTCGCTTTTCGATATTTTCGGTATTCGATGAGCTCTCAGGAACGGATTAATATCGAATACCGGGGGTCCACTGTATGTACATATTTGTTTTTTTTCTTTTAACACACTGGCCGTATCCCACTGAGGCGGGGTGGCCCAAAAGGAAAAACGAAAGTTTCTCCTTTTACATTTAATAATATACTAGCCCCTTGCTCCTGGCATTTTAGTCGCCTCTTGCAACACGCATGGCTTACGGAGGAAGAATTCTGTTCCACTTCCCCATGGAGGTAAGAGGAAATAAACAAGAACTAGTAAGAAAATAGAAGAAAACCCAGCGGGGTGTATATATATATGCTTGTACATGCATGTGTAGTGTGACCTTAGTGTAAGTAGAAGTAGCAAGACGTACCTGAAACCTTGCGTGTTTGTGAGAGAAAAATGGACACCAGCAATCCTACCATCATGTAAAACAATTACAGGCTTTCGTTTTACACTCGCTTGGCAGGACGGTAGTACCTCCCTGGGCGGTTGCTGTCTACCAACCTACTACCTAGGATGTATTTGTATTTTTATTTAATTTTACGAACATCAACTGTACAGTGGACCCCTGGTATTCGATATTAATCCGTTCCGGAGAGCTCATCGAATACCGAAAATATCGAAAAGCGAATCAATTTTCCCCATAAGAAATAATGGAAATCAAATTAATCCGTGCAAGACACCCAAAAGTATGAAAAAGAAATTTACCACATGAAATATTAATTTTAATACACACAAACTGAAGAAGACATGCACAGTTACATGACACTTACCTTTATTGAAGATTGGTGATGATTGATGGGATGGGAGGAGGAGGAGGGGAGTGTGTGGATGGTATTAGTGTTTAGAAGGGGAATCCCCTTCCATTAGGACTTGAGGTAGCAAGTCCTTTTCCGGGGTTACTTCCCCCCTTCTTTTAATGCCACTAGGACTAGCTTGAGTCACTGGACCTCTGTCGCACAACAAATCTGTCCATAGAGCTCTGTACCTCCCGTTCCTTTACGATTTGTCTAAAATGGGCCACAACATGGTCATTGTAATAGTCACCAGCACGGCTTGCAATAGCCATGTTAGGGTGATTTTCATCCATAAAGTTTTGCATTTCAACCCACTGTGCACACATTTCCTTAATTTTTGAAGTAGGCACAATGGATTTCACAACTGGCCACCGGGCCATCTAGGTGATTTGAGGTTAGTATATATCACTATACATGTACTTCAATTTTTCATACATTTTTTTCCTCTGTTATAGTTTATTTATAGTTTTAATTTCATGAATATCAACTTTACTTTTCACTACCCACTTTTCTACAAAACTTTACATCTGCTACACTTGACAGATCTCTTAGGCTAGCTGGTAGAAAAAGTTTAGTAAAAAATATGTAAAAAGAAAAAAGAAAAAAAAAATTGCATGTTGAATGTACTGGTGACTGCTGGAAGTTCTTATTCAACCTACACGTACGTGGTTTGATGTTTAACCTATCACTTCCCTTCCCTTTTTCGTATTTCCATAAACCATACGAGTAAACTACATTGTTTAAATATTTCAGATGAAAACTCATGCTCAGTTATAAACTAAAAATTTAGTATTTTTTGTTTTATTTTAATCCTTTTCAATGTTTAGTGCATATTAGCATTTTTTTTATCAATATTGTAATGTAATCGTCTGTTTGGAATGCATTTCACTATAATATAACTGTTTTAAACAGTTATAGTGAACATTTTCAGCACCTATTTACCACTCTATGCAAGATATTCCCGTATTGTTGTGTTGACCCCCGGAACTCTCTCCAGGTAAACTCCAGGTATATGTAATTAGTGTTTTATAGTTCTAAGAACTTAAATTCATTTTAATGTTAACATGATTGTCTTACCAGAGTCAAAAGATACTTAAAATGTTACAGAAAAGGCTGTTTGCATTTAACAGAATAATTTAAGTATCTAATAGTAGCTGTTACAAGGAACTTGCATAGTAGAAATTGTGATGTGCACATGAGAAATTTAAAATGACTTAAAAATTCTCATTTACCAACAGGGAGATGGTCGAAGCAGAGCCAACGTTACACTCGCGTTTGGACAAAGCCTTCCTCCTTGCATTCCTGAGAGCCCGTAAATTTGATTATGATAAGGCAATGGCTATGGTAAGCTAATGTACATTCTTTTTAGATGCCCTAATTTTTTTTCCCCATTTCATTACCATTACCCTCTTCCCATAAATTTTACTGGTAAAATTGGCTATTCTAGTTTACCGTCCCTTCATATTACATTGCTGTTATAGTAATTAGGAGTTTTGTTTCTTGATCATTGCATTTGAGTCTTTTGAAAACTAGCTGAAGATATTTAAGTTTAAATGTGTGGAGGACAGGTGTTTAGAGGAAGGATTGCTTTATGAATGAAGAGCTGGATGTTCTAGCAGTAAGTGAAATAAAGGCAAAGAAAAGAATAAAGGTTTTATTTCATTGTAAAGGTTACAATGTGTAATTAGAATTTTGGTTTAAGTACAAAGAAAGCCACTATCATGCCGGGGCATTTTGGGCAGACTAATCCTAGTACATAAAAACTACTTAAATCTAGGCAAGATAAGAGTGGGTAACTTTTTAATAAATCTTTATTTAATCTTAAAACTAATGTGAGTAAAAATGTTGGGTAAAAATGTGGGTAAAAATATTGTGGAGGGAGTAGTAGGTAAATTTGGGATGCCAGGGATAAATGAAGATGGGGAGACTTTAATTGAGCTATGTGTAGAAAGAGGTTTGGTAATAAGTAATACATATTTTATGAAGAAGAGGATAAATAAATAAACAAGGTATGATATAGCATGCAATGAAAGTAGTTTGTTAGATTATATATTACTGGATAAAAGGTTGATGGGTAGGCTCCAGGATGTACACGTTTATAGGGGGATGGGGGCAACTGATATATCGGATCATTATTTAGTTGTAGCTACAGTTAGAGTAAGAGGTATATGGGAAAAGAGGGAAAATGGCAACAAGAAGCAAGAGGTAGGTGAAAGTGTATAAACTAAGGGAGGAGGAAGTTTGGGTGAGATATAAGCAACTATTGGCAGAAAAGGTGGGCTGGTGCAAGTATAAGTAGTGGGAGGGTTGAAGAGGGTTGGAATAGTTTTAAAAATGTAGTATTAGAATGTGGGGCAGAAGTTTGTGGTTATAGGAGGGTGAGTGCAGGAGGAAAGAGGAGTGATTGGTGGAATGATGAAGTAAAGGGTGTGATAAAAGAGGAAAAGCTAGCTTATGAGAGGTTTTTACAAAGCAGAAGTGTTATAAGAAGAGTAGAGTATAAGGAGAGTAAAAGAAAGGCGAAGAGAGTGGTGAGAGAGTGCAAAAGGAGAGCAGATGATAGTGGGGGAGTCACTGTCAAGAAAATTTAATGAAAATAAGAAAAAAATTTGGAGAGTGTTAAACAAGTTAAGAAAGCCTAGAGAAAGAATGGATTTGTCAGTTAAAAACAGAGTAGGGGAGTTAGTAGATGGGGAGATGGAGGTTTTGGGTAGATGGCGAGAATATTTTGAGGAACTTTTGATTGTCGACGAAGAAAGGGAAGTGGTAATTTCATGCACTGGCCAGGGAGGTATGCCATCTTTTAGGAGTGAAGAACAGGATGAGTGTGGGGGAGGTGCGTGAGGCATTACATAGAATGAAAGGGGGTAAAGCAGCTGGAACTGATGGGATCATGACAGAAATGTTAAAAGCAGGGGAGGATAGTGTTGGAGTGGTTGGTATTTTTGTTTAATAAATATATGAAAGAGGGGAAGGTACCTAGGGATTGGCAGAGAGCATGTATAGTCCCTTTATGTAAAGGAAAGGGGGGGACAAAAAAGATTGTAAAAATTATAGAGGAATAAGTTTACTGAGTATACCAGGAAAAGTGTATGGTAGGGTTATAATTGAAAGAATTAGAAGCTAGACAGAATGTAGGATTGCGGATGAGCAAGGAGGTTTCAGAGTGGGTAGGGGATGTGTAGATCAAGTGTTTACATTGAAGCATATATGTGAACAGTATTTAGATAAAGGTAGGGAAGTTTTTATTGCATTTATGGATTTAGTAAAGGCATATGATAGTGGATAGGGGAGCAATGTGGCAGATGTTGCAAGTATATGGAATAGGTGGTAAGTTACTAAATGCTATAAAGAGTTTTTATGAGGATAGTGAGGCTCAGGTTTGGGTGTGTAGAAGAGATGGAGACTACTTCCCAGTAAAAGTAGGTCTTAGACAGGGATGTATAATGTCACCATGGTTTAATATATTTATAGATGGGGTTGTAAAAGAAGTAAATGCTAGGGTGTTCAAGAGAGGGGTGGGATTAAATTATGGGGAATGAAATATAAAATGGGAATTGACACAGTTGCTTTTTGCTTATGATACTGTGCTCATGGGAGATTCTAAAGAAAAAATTGCAAAGGTTAGTGGACAAGTTTGGGAGTGTGTGTAAAGGTAGAAAGTTGAAAGTGAACATAGAAAATAGTAAGGTGATGAGGGTATCAAATGATTTAGATAAAAAAAAATTGGATATCAAATTGGGGAGGAGTAGTATGGAAGAAGTGAATGTTTTCAGATACTTGGGAGTTGACGTGTCGGCGGATGGATTTATGAAGGATAAGGTTAATCATAGAATTGATGAGGGGAAAAAAGGTGAGTGGTGCGTTGAGGTATATATGGAGACAAAAAAACGTTACCTATGGAGGCAAAGAAGGGAATGTATGAAAGTATAGTAGTACCAACACGCTTATATGGGTGTGAAGCTTGGGTTGTGAATGCAGCAGCGAGGAGGCGGTTGGAGGCAGTGGAGATGTCCTGTCTAAGGGCAATGTGTGGTGTAAATATTATGCAGAAAATTCGGTAGTGTGGAAATTAGGAGGTGTGGAGTTAATAAAAGTATTAGTCAGAGGGCTGAAGAGGGGTTGTTGAGGTGGTTTGGTCATTTAGAGAGAATGGATCAAAGTAGAATGACATGGAGAGCGTATAAATCTGTAGGGGAAGGAAGGCGGGGTAGGGGTCGTCCTTGAAAAGGTTGGAAGGAAGGGGTAAGGGAGGTTTTGTGGGTGAGGGGCTTGGACTTCCAGCAGGCGTGCATGAGCGTGTTCAATAGGAGTGAATGGAGACGAATGGTGAGCAGGGTAATATTTAGTGAAGGGATTCAGGGAAACCGGTTATTTTTATATAACCGAACTTGAGTCCTGGAAATGGGAAGTACAGCGCCTGCACTCTAAAGGAGAGGTTTGGGATATTAGCAGTTTGTAGGAATATGTTGTGTATCTTTATATGTATATGCTTCTAAACTGTTGTGTTTCTGAGCACCTCTGGAAAAACTGATTGTGTGAGTGAGGTGAAAGTGTTGAATGATGAAAGTATTTTCTTTTTGGAGATTTTCTTTTTTTTGGGGGGGTCACCCTGCCTCAGTGGGAGATGGCCAACTTGTTAAAAAAAAAATATTAATTATTATTTATTATTATTATTATTATTATGACCATGCATGTTAAGTGATCTATAAAATTTATTAAATGATCAATAGTCCAATTATTTGAAAAGCCCATAGTATGCACCTCATCTTGGGGAAACTTGTTCACACAAATGAGTTGCTTAAATTAGTTTATTACATTTACCTGTTTTTTGAGGTTGCAGATCAAACAAAATATAACTATTTCTTGGTGTAGTATACAAAGTGGAGTTTACATGTAATATATTGTTGGTTGCAAAGAGAGAGACTAGCATGCATGTGCATTTTGGGCAGACTAATCCAAATGCTAACAGACTACATAGGATTAGACATAGGTTGTTGAGTGGTAAAATTTTAATTATGCATTATTGTAAAAAGACGTAGGAAAAATATTACAATTGATACAATTTACAATAGAGGGGTAGCAGAATATTAAAATTAGCGCAATTTGCAATACATAGTATAATTTTAAGCATATTAATACATACTGCCTGCCCTTTTCTTCAAAGCTAAAATGATCTTTTGATCTGTTGATTGTACTCTAAAGGTGTAAATCATTTTAGGTGTTTTATAATGAATATTTTAGGATCTTGCTGTCTCACAGGTTGCTCTGGAAAAATTTTTCACATTAATCCTTTCATTGAATGTAGGGATAGATTTAAAGTTTGTATAAATTTGTAAATATTTACAGATACGCAGTTATTATAGAGCAAGGCAGGAAAATGCAGATATGTACGTAGAACTGTACCCTTCTGCACTTGATCATGTATGGCCTCTTCAGATGCAGACTGTCCTTCCAACACCAGATTGCTTAGGCAGGACTGTCCTAATCTTTAGAACAGGTGAGGTGCTAGTGACTGAATACTTAAGTGCAAAGTAATACTGCATTAATTTTTAAATTCCTTATCTCAATATCATTCACTGTTAAACTAGCATATATTCTCTGAGTTAAGTATAAAACTGTTAGGAAAGGCAATAATTATCAAGTACAGTGGTCCCTCGTTGTTCGTAATTAATCCGTTCCTGGGCCGTTACTATAAACGAAATTTACGAAATGTCCATTCCTGACACCCAGAAGTATTAAAACAAAAAATTTTTTAACATGAAATATGCATGTAGTACATAAACAATACAATGGGAAATGATGAATGAAACATTAACAGCATAACACTTACCTTTATTGGAGATTCTTCTTAGTGTATGGGAGACTGGAGGAGGAGAGAGAGTGGTTTGTTTATAGTTTGGAAGGGGAATCCCCTTCCATCAACACCTCGGGTACCATTTGCTTTTCTGGGGTTGCTTCTCTTCTCTGTTTCTTAATGCCACTAGGACCACCTTGAGTCACTGGAGTCCTGTCTCACAAAATAACTGTGGAGAGAGCTCTGTTTCTGGCATCTCTTTAACACTTCCCTAAAATGGCCCAAGACTTTGTCACTGTACATGTTGCCAACCTGGCTTGCAACAACCTTGTTAGGGTGATGTTTCTCCATAAAGCTTTCCATCTTACCCCGCATAGTAAAAATCTCTTTAATTTCTGAAGAAGGCACCTTCTTCCATCTCTTCCTCCTCCTCTGCAGAAAGATTCTGAGCTGCGATGTGTTGCTCTTCCTGCTGAAGCTCTTGCAGCTCCTCAGTGGTGAGCTCTTCATTGTGGTCTTCTACCAATTCTTCCACATCCTCCAAACTCACATCCAACCCCATGGAACTCCCCAGTGCCACAATTGATTTTACAACAGACATAGGCTCATTAGGGTCAGTCCCAAACTCTTCAAAATCCCTCTTGTCAACACAATCTGGCCACAATTTTCTCCAGGCAGAGTTCAAAGTCCTGGTAGTCACTCCCTCCCAAGCCATACCTATAAGGGTTATGCAGTGGAGGATGCTGAAGTGTTCTCTCCAAAATTCCCTTAGGGTCAAGTGAGTGTCTGTGGTCACAGTCAAGCACCTGTGAAACATTGCTTTTGTGTAGTTGTTTTTAAAGTTTGCAATAACCTGCTGGTCCTTGGGTTGGAGGAGAGGAGTGGTATTCGGGGGCAAGAACTTTACTGTGATGAACCCAAACTCCTCGAAAATTAGGTCATCCAAGTTTGGAGGATGAACAGGTGCATTGTCCATTACTAGCAGGCACTTGAGATCCAATTTCTTTTCCAGGAGATACTCCTTCACACTAGGGCCAAACACTTCATTGAACCACTCTACGAAAATTTCCCTCGTGACCCATGCCTTACTATTAGATTTCCAAAACACACACAATTTACTCTTCATAACATTGTTTTTCCTGAACACACTGGGATTTTCAGAATGGTACACTAGTAATGGCTTCACTTTGAAATCCCCACTAGCATTAGCACAGAACATTAGTGTCAGCCTGTCTTTCATAGGCTTGTGTCCTGGCATTGCCTTTTCTTCTTGTGTAATGAAGATCCTCTTTGGCATTTTCTTCCAAAAGAGGCCTGTTTCATCACAATTGAACACTTGTTCAGGTTTGTCCTTCAGCCTCTATGTACTCCAGGAATTCATGCACATATTTTTCAGCCGCCTTGTGGTCCGAACTGGCAGCCTCACCATGGCTTACCACACTGTGTATGCCAGTACGGTTCTTAACTCTCAAACCAGCCTTTGCTGGCCTTAAATTCACTCACTTCACCACTATTTGCAGGCAATTTCTTTACCAAATCTTCATGCAACTGCCTAGCCTTTTCACAAATAAACGAAGTCATAAGAGTATCTCCTGCTAATTGTTTCTCATTTATCCACACCAATAATAACTTCTCAACCTCTTCCAGTACTGGTGATCTCACTTTTGTCAGCATAGTTACTCCCTTTGCAACAACAGCATCCTTTATTTCATTTTTCTTGGCCACTATGGAACATAAGGTTGTGTAGGGTTTCTTATACATCCTGGACAGTTCGGCCACACTTGTACCACTTTCATATTGTTCAATGATGGTTTTCTTAAATTCAATCGTATTTCTCACCTTCTTTACCACAGGCTTGGCACTAGGAGCTTTCTTTGGAGCCATGGTAGCTTATTTAGTACTTGCAAGCACTAAAATAAATGGAATATTATGCTGGAGCACGTGAGGGGACCTTCGCTCACTGGTAAACAATGCCAGACTGGCTGCCGCCCTGGATCACGCTGTGGGTACGCGTCCTGGACAAACTACGACTCGCGAGTCAACCTATGAAAAGCGAGTCCATGTTTATACAAAAATACCTCTATGATTGGCAAATTTTACGATTGCAGGGAACTACGAAAAGCGGGGGACCACTGTACTGTGCTATAATTTTTTTTTTATCAGTGAACATATTTTGACTATTACCTGGAGTTTACCTGGAGAGAGTTCCGGGGGTCAACACCCCCGCGGCCCGGTCTGTGACCAGGCCTCCTGGTGGATCAGAGCCTGATCAACCAGGCTGTTACTGCTGGCTGCATGCAAACCAACGTACGAGCCACAGCCCGGCTGGTCAGGTACCGACTTTAGGTGTTTGTCCAGTGCCAGCTTGAAGACTGCCAGGGGTCTATTGGTAATCCCCCTTATGTATGCTGGGAGGCAGTTGAACAGTCTCAGGCCCCTGACACTTATTGTATGGTCTCTTAACGTGCTAGTGACACCCCTGCTTTTCATTGGGGGGATGTTGCATCGTCTGCCAAGTATTTTGCTTTCGTAGTGAGTGATTTTCGTGTGCAAGTTCGGTACTAGTCCCTCTAGGATTTTCCAGGTGTATATAATCATGTATCTCTCCCGCCTGCATTCCAGGGAATACAGGTTCAGGAACCTCAAGCGCTCCCAGTAATTGGTGTTTTATCTCCGTTATGCGCGCCGTGAAGGTTCTCTGTACATTTTCTAGGTCAGCAATTTCACCTGCCTTGAAAGGTGCTGTTAGTGTGCAGCAATATTCCAGCCTAGATAGAACAAGTGACCTGAAGAGTGTCATCATGGGCTTGGCATCCCTAGTTTTGAAGGTTCTCATTATCCTTCCTGTTATTTTTCTAGCAGCTGCGATTGATACAATGTTATGGTCCTTGAAAGCGAGATCCTCCGACATGATCACTCCCAGGTCTTTGACGTTGGCGTTTCGCTCTATTTTGTGGCCAGAATTTGTTTTATACTCTGAAGATTTAATTTCTTCGTGTTTACTATATCTGAGTAATTGAAATTTCTCATTGTTGAACTTCATATTGTTTTCTGCAGCCCACTGAAAGATTTGGTTGATGTCTGCCTGGAGCCTTGCAGTGTCTGCAGTGGAAGACACTGTCATGCAGATTCGGGTGTCATCTGCAAAGGAAGACACGGTGCTGTGGCTGACATCCTTGTCTGTCAGATATGAGGATGAGGAACAAGATGGGAGCGAGTACTGTGCCTTGTGGAACAGCTTTTCACCGTGCCTGCCTCGGACTTTACTCTGTTGACTACTACTTTGTGTTCTGTTTTTATTATTATTATTATCACACTGGCCGATTCCCACCAAGGCAGGGTGGCCCGAAAAAGAAAAACTTTCACCATCATTCACTCCATCACTATCTTGCCAGAAGGGTGCTTTACACTACAGTTTTTAAACTGCAACATTAACACCCCTCCTTCAGAGTGCAGGCACTGTACTTCCCATCTCCAGGACTCAAGTCCGGCCTGCCGGTTTCCCTGAACCCCTTCATAAATGTTACTTTGCTCACACTCCAACAGCACGTCAAGTATTAAAAACCATTTGTCTCCATTCACTCCTATCAAACACGCTCACGCATGCCTGCTGGAAGTCCAAGCCCCTCACACACAAAACCTCCTTTACCCCCTCCCTCCAACCTTTCCTAGGCCGACCCCTACCCCGTCTTCCTTCCACTACAGACTGATACACTCTTGAAGTCATTCTGTTTCGCTCCATTCTCTCTACATGTCCGAACCACCTCAACAACCCTTCCTCAGCCCTCTGGACAACAGTTTTGGTAATCCCGCACCTCCTCCTAACTTCCAAACTACGAATTCTCTGCGTTATATTCACACCACACATTGCCCTCAGACATGACATCTCCACTGCCTCCAGCCTTCTCCTCGCTGCAACATTAAATCACCCATGCTTCACACCCATATATGTACTCTCATACATTCCCCTCTTTGCCTCCAAGGACAAAGTTCTTTGTCTCCACAGACTCCTAAGTGCACCACTCACCCTTTTTTCCCCCCATCAATTCTATGATTCACCTCATCTTTCGTAGGGCCCATCCGCTGACACGTCCACTCCCAAATATCTGAATACATTCGCCTCCTCCATACTCTCTCCCTCCCAAACTGATATCCAGTCTTTCGTCACCTAAAACTTTTTGTTATCCTCATAACCTTACTCTTTCCTGTATTCGCTTTCAATTTTCTTCTTTTGCATACCCTACCAAATTCATCCACCAATCTCTGCAACTTCTCTTCGGAATCTCCCAAGAGCACAGTGTCATCAGCAAAGAGCAACTGTGACAACTCCCATTTTGTGTGATTGTTTATCTTTTAACTCCACGCCTCTTGCCAAGACCCTCGCATTTACTTCTCTTACAACCCCATCTATAAATATATTAAACAGCCACAGTGTCATCACACATCCTTGTCTAAGGCCTACTTTTACTGGGAAATAATTTCCCTCTTTCCTACATACTCTAACTTGAGCCTCACTATCCTTGTAAAAACTCTTCACTGCTTTCAGTAACCTACCTCCTACACCATACACCTGCCACATTGCCCCCCTATCCACCCTGTCATATGCCTTTTCCAAATCCATAAATGCCACAAAGACCTCTTTAGCCTTATCTAAATACTGTTCACTTATATGTTTCACTGTAAACACCTGGTCCCCCACACCC